GTTGGATTTCCGAACATGATAGCCGCCGGGCAGTCGACGTTGAGATGGTAGCGGCCGGAGATGAAGGTGCCGACCTTGAATCGGACGCGACCGTCGATTTTGATGGACAACAAGACGGTGCCGACGGCCTGGTCTTGATTGAGAGCGGCGCCGTTGTAGGGAGAGATCGGAACGGCGTTACCAACGACGAACGGTGACCAGATGTTGATGTCGTTGTGGCCTTGATAGTTAGGTTGAATGACGGTACGGAGAGTGATCTGTTGGTTCCGGTAGACGGCGTAGACATCGAGGCGGTCGTAGTAGATTCCGATCTTGTCGTTAGGGTTCCGGGAGGAGATGGTGACTTGGATACTGGAGGAGATAAAATTAGCGGCGCTGACGTTGAAGAGGAAGACGGTGGCGTCTTGGATGATGAATTTGGGCTTCGTCGGCTGAAGAATGGCCCAAATTAAGAGGATCGTGAGAAGGACTAGGAAGAGGAAGATTAGGACTCCGGCGTAGATTCGCCGGATTAGTTTTGGGCGTTTTTTGCTGTGGTGAGCACATTCCTTAACCATATTGTCGACGGTGCCGGTGCCGGTGGATCAGAATCTGTTGAAGAGGGAGAGAGAAGAAGGCGGTTTTGAAGTCGTTCTTCAACTCTCTATCTCATCAGTAGTGGAGATTGGTTGGGAAAATGATGATTTGGAGTGTTATTTATGGACCACAAATTTGTGATATAAATATATAATAATATTTTAAAGCATAACTTACCATAAATTATTAAATTTAATTCCAGTATTCTTTAACTTATTAAGGTATTTCGGTAGGGTCGGTCTATTCTTTAACTTATTAAGGTATATCGGTAGAGTCGGTCTAACAGCTCAAACCCATCACTAGCATATATCGTCTTATTTGGAATTTTCTTTTCGGGGTTCCTCTGGAGAGATTTTCACACACCCTTATAGAGAATGTTTTGTTCTCCTCTTGATGTGTGATCTCACAATCCACTTCCTTCGTGGCCCAGCATTTTTGCTGACACTCGTTCTCGTTCTCGTCTTCCATCGATCTAGGGTCTCATAGTCGGGGAGCACAATGACCCATTTCGAAAGGAGCAAAAAAAGATATCTTTATATATATATATATATATATATATATATATATATATATATATATATATATTTAAATTCTAGGTTGTTTCTAAAAAAAAATAGAATATAAATATTTTGAAAGAACAAAATCAAAATAAATTAAAATAAGTTGTTATTCAATTAATGAAAAAGAATTTAATTTATATACATAAGAATAAGACAACAATTAAAAAATATAAAATAAAAATAAAACTTAAAAAAATTAATAATAAAGAAAATGAATATCAGGGTACTGTAGTAGTTGGAAAATAAAGCGATATAATTTATTTTACACTTCAATAATAATTAGTTTGTGAAGACAAAAAATAATAATAATAATAATAATAATAATAATAATAATAAAGCAACATTTAATTATTGAAGAGTTTTGGTGCCTTTTTGTGTGTTTGATGACTCACCTTTTTTCTTTTCTCTTTCAAAATTATTCTTTTTTTGTCATTATTTTTTAATTACTTGTTAGGTTATTGGATAATCATTTATTTTTTATTTTTTTTATTTCCAATAATAAAATGAAGAAATTCCGAGCGTTATTAGATAATTATTTGTATTATAAAAAATAACATTAGCGGTATTATTTTTTTTTAAGTCAAAGATTAAAATCAATCATTTATTATACTATAATTAATGAACTTGAATTTAATGATACACCTGAAAGTCATTTTCGTACTAAAATTTCTATTTAATCATCTGAGTATAAAAAGAACAATTGTTCGTCGATCTTATTTGATGGACGTTTAAAAAATACATATAATATAATTAAAAAATATATACGTATAATGACGATGTTTTGTATAGTTCACTCCCGATAATTTTTTTTGAAGAAGTACACGAACAAAAACTGTTTATCTAATAGATCGAGAATGGTTAGATACTAAAGGGTAAAATTGTAATATTGTAATGAAATTTAGGTCAACTATAGAAAGAGGGAAAGTCGTCTTTTATTAATATTATTATTTATTGAAGGAAAGAGAAAATGTGGGGATAACGTGCAAAGGAAGGTTCCAACCTAATTTCAAAATGGCGTTTTTCCTTTTCCACATCTGAATTATTGGAGAATATTCAAGCCCCACACCCCTAGCCGCCAAAGCCGACCACCGTAAACACGAGGGGTATATTCGTGTTCGGTTAAGTTAGGTTAAATTAATGATCCGAACAATTCAAGTAGAGTTCACAATTCAACCCAGCTTAACCCTCTATTTTAGATTGAATTGAGTTAGATTGTCGGGTTGTTTTTTTAAATACATATTACATTAATAACTAAAATCTCGTAAATCTCAAATATTAAATATTCACAAGCCACTGTCAAAAATATATATATATAAATATATATATATTTTAATAATATAAAATTAGAGTTTGATTAAGTTGTAACCCTATTTTCGAATTGATCGTACGAGTCGACTTAAGTTTTTAATTTTTTTAAAAATTCAACTCAACCTAAATCGAAAAAAAATCTAATCCAATCTAATTTTTATGGTTTGAGTTGGATAAATTCGGATTAGTCGGGTTTAAGCTTGACAAGGGCAAATGGGTAATTTCCAGATTTCATGTATTAAAGCTAATCGAGTGCTTTCATTTTCTTCAACAAAAAGCTCACATGCTTTACCACACAAAAAGGCTTTCGCTACAGATTTTTTTACAACCGTTAGATTTATTTATTTATTTATTTTTATTATTTATTTTTCTTATACTATAAAACGTAATATAAAAATATATTATTGCTACTTTTATATTTACGATTATCCTTATAAAAAAGTTTAGAGTTAATTTAGAGTGAAGTTTTGGCGTTTTCTTTATTTTTAAATTTATGGTATAGAATCGTCAGGTCACCTTAAACTATTATTTTTAATATCAAATCGCTTTCTTATAGATATAGTTATCAGATCATTTTCAACCTATTTTTTATAATTATAACGACAATTATATCGCTTTCTTATACATATAATTAGATAATTTCTAACTATTTTTTTTAAAAAACTATGACACTTAACTTATCATTGTCTGTTTTTAGATGAATGTGACTAATTAAAAACATTTTTTTTTGGATCTAACTGAGCGTCTTTCTAATTCTTAGAATTTGACTGAAGTTCAAAAGAAAATCCGTTCAAGATTTAAGCACGATTGTGTACATAAAATAATACATGTGTATATATGAATTGTTGAAATGTTAGGTTTTTTTGACATGTACAACGCTTTTGTCGTCAATCCTTGAGAAGAAAAAAATAAATTAATAAATCAAGAAAAAGTCAAAATAAACCCACGTTTTAAAAATGAATTTTAGATTAAATTACATAATTCAAATTAATTATTTTTTAAAATTTATGTATATTTCATTAAATAAAAAATTCAATTTCACATCAATCAAATCTTAAATTTTTTAAATTTAATAAAAAATCTATTAAATATTTTTAGAAATTCAAAGACTAAATAAATACAATTTTAAAACCCATGAATTACATAAACTTTATAAATGGTATTTCCAACCCCCTCTATTTTATATTAAATCCCAATTTTATAAGTAAAACTTTTATCCCCAAACTTAAAAATAAAAAATTTACTCACTAAATTTTGATATATATATATATATATATATATATATATATATAAAAGATAAAACATTTATTAGATATAAAATTTTAAGAAAAAAATGTATAAGATATAAAATAAAAAAATAAAAAATGTAAAGTTAAATGACAGTCCCCTCTCTCTTCTTGTCTTTTCTCGTATATATATATATATATATATAAATAAAACATTTGAATAGAACAAATTGGAAATTAATTTAAATAAAAAATTGTATGGTGGGAAAAAAAGAAAGAAAGAAAGAAAAAAGGAAGAGGCATGTGGAAAAGGAGCAATGGAATTATTGGGATTGAAGATAGGATTGACTGTAGGGCCTTAAGGTGTTTCAATTTGTGGTTTAATTAATTTCCCTTTATTTATTTATTCTCCTAAACAACCCTACGCTATCTTCCTCGATTCCCCATTATTCCTCGTTCTCTTCTTCTTTAGCTCCCTTTTTCAAGGAGTTTTTTTTTTTTTTTTTTTTAATTTTTTATAAATATATAATACATGCACTATATATATTTTTTAATACATAAAATCTCTAAACAAATATAGATGAGTTCATCCTACCTTTTAATAAATTTTTAAACTTATTTTATTCTGTCACTAAATATGTTTAAAGGGTCTATTTTATTTTTTAAAAATAATAATTGAGTGACATTTTTGAATAAGGTAATTATCTTGAACTATGTGACTCTATTTCATATTATCTATTTGTTAACGGCAAAATAGTGGTAAGAATTGAAATGACTAACATTTTGCAATTCAACGTGGATAATAATAGAATATATATATATATATATATATTCTTTTTAATTAAGGTAACCACCACAAAATTGGTAGAAATTCTCTAGTTGATGAAGTGATAAGGCCGGCGTTTGTCTTCTTTTGAGGTGTTTTTGGATGCGTGTAAAGCACGGTGTCACGCGCTTGGAGAAAGTTTTTAGGGTTTGGAAATTCTCATGTGTGATAATTCCAAGCAAGAAAATGGCAAAATAATAATAACAAAAATAAAATAAATGAATACTATGCATATATTTACTTTATTTTTTTTATTTATAAATTTGACTTTAAATAATTTATTTTCCAACCATTTTTTTTAAGTCTTTTAGAATATAATTGTTCAAAGTTGCCAAATTTTAATTCAATATTAGAAAATAAATAAAATAGATAGTTTGCCCATTAAAACCGTACATTTATTACAAACAAAAATTTGAATAAATGACATAAACAATTAAATGAACACTCCTACTACTTAAAAGATGTAAAAGAAAAATAGATAAATTCAGTTTATGATCCATTTGACAATGAACGTGACTTCCTATCCGAAATTAACATAACCCATGTACAAACAAATTAAGCCACCTCAACAGAAAAACAAGACCTCTACTAATAATAATAAGGCAAAACTTCGACCATCAAATATCATGATTTGGCTTTATAATTCAGACATTTTTCCTTCGTAATTATTGTAATATTTTAGCTCAAAGAGTGACATTCCTAATTTTCAAGGTTTTAGATGTCGATGTTGACGTGGACGAAAATACTAACGAAGATTTTCCTTAGCAACCAGAGGCCATTCTAATAGCATAACAGGCTTCTGCTTAATATTCCTGATGTTCTAAGGAAACCATCAACATGTTCATGACGCTCTAATCTCTCCAAGCTTAGCAACTTCTAGGATAAATTGTACTAATTATCCAAATTGAGGGAGGGCATACATCGATGTAAAGTTGAAGCCTACGGAATAAAATGAACAAATATAGTCAACAGTCCTCCATGATTGATGACAGAAAGTTACTTCCCTCGTGTACCTCCAACAATTGAGTGTGCAGAAGGAAGGCATTTGAATGATCAAAAGGCTTTGCCTTCTTTACTTTTGATCTTTGAAGTTTAAGGAAAATCCATATAACCTATCAGATGGCTTACCTTGGCGTATCTTTAGTTGGTCAAGGTGCACCAAAGTATAAGCCTTGGCATCCTCATGTGATTTTAATGGTTCTTTGGCAATCATATTAATCTTTCATGAGGCAAACCAAGACTACGAGGAGAGAAAAAAATCTATATAACGCATCGGCGTCACTTAATTCTTACTCGTAGGCACCAAAGAAAAGGTCTTGTTCACCTACCTAATAGATGAAAAAAGTGTGCTCAGGTCTCAGAAGTGAGAAGGAAGGATAAGGAGAGGAAAGGTTCTGGTGGGCATTTTGGAAAGTTTGTTTATAAGGGAAAGTGTGGAGGAGAGCATCGTATACTACTATTACTACTACAATATCAAGGATTGGAAATCACCAAGTATATTGGACAGAAACCACTACATAGCTGACAGGAAGATGAATCATATCCTATTTAATTTGATGAAAAAGTCTTTCGTTTCCTTCAGCCATATTCATAAATTTTGTTAAGTTTTTGTCCCTTTATTACAAGAAATCTAAAGAAACATGAAGAAAGTGTAGCCGAGCTCAAGCGTTTGGAATTTTTCTTCTACATTGACATGAATTATTATGGTTCTGAAAATTTCTAGAGATACAATTAATGAACACAACTTTGAATATTTTCCTAGGCAGGCTCGCGAGAATAAATTGACATATACACAACAAGACCATTAAAAAAAATGAGGGTGCCTGCAAGAGGAAGGACTTGTCATACTGCTAGAAACTGCATACGAGCATGTAGATGTTGAAAATATTAAAAAATGGATGAACGAATCTAATTATACAAATTGTAGAGAAAAGAACAAGGGGGGGAGAGGGGAAGTACCTGCGCTAACTTTGTCCATGTACAGAGCATTTGGAGAAGCTACTAGCGCTTTTGTTCACTGAATGTCTTACCCTCAAAAAATTCATTTAGCATACGCTCAAGATCCTCCGGAGAATATCTGATATATCTTTGAGAAGCTTTTCCATTCTCAATCTGCCTGTTGCACATGTAGTTTACATATAAATACACACAATTCCAAAAGTTAAGGTTTTATCATTTTAGAGTGAGAACATGCCCGTAACGGTTGATGAAAGATCGGTAGGCAGGCAATAAAACTTCAGCAACTGCCAACCTCAATGACTCTCGCAACTCACTGTCAGGAACTGTCCACTGAGATTGCCGTTGATGAAGCTCTTCAAATTGAATGTAAAAAGTCTTGAACCTATCTCTCACCATAGCTCTTGAAAGTCCACCGCCAGCATCTCCCGATGCACCACCACTACCTGAGGCCTGAACAGTGAGGCATTGCAAAATCTGCAAACAAGAAACAAAAACCTTAGAATACTAACCCTCCAGAGTATTTCTTGGTTTTTTTGGGACTTGATAGCAAATACTGAGAAAAAGCTAATATGTTTTCCATGATCTTCACATTCCCTAGAAAAAGTTTGCATTTTAAGGGTTACATCTCGACCTTATTAAACGACATTGTACAGTGATAAATGTGAGTTGTGATCGTTATTTGACCCATCCTAATGTAAATGAGTTCTTTTCTTTTTCCCTTTATTCTTTTTTCTCTCGGTAAAGAAGAGGCACACAGTTGAATAAGTAAGTGCAATTCTTTTTGTCAAGACGACCAGTTCAGTTGTCCCATGAAAAATAAACCAACTTTTTCACCAAAGTGGTTACAAGTTCATGATGTCATCCTTGACATCATAAAGATCATATCATACACTACACAGACAAAGTTCCGGTAAGGATAGGACTTCCTCTAACTTTTGCTCTTAGACTGATCTATTGTCTGCATTAGAAGAGAAAAACCAAAAGTAAAAGATCGAAAGTTATCCGCTTGTATTAATTTGCACTAGAAAGAGTCGAGTGAACCAAACCTTTGCCCAAGAAATCCGCTTGTATTGATTTGCATGCTGCTGCACAATCCTTCGATGTATCTGCACCCAGTCATCACCCAACAAATCCTTTGCCTCCGATCTGAGAACTCAATGTAACAAACTATTACCAATGGGATAAATCATAATCTTTTGACATACAAGCCAAATATACTACAAACCTTCGGACAGATCTCACTATATAGTGAATATTGTTCATCAGAAATAATTGAGTTAGTGCAGGATCCCTATATTGCTTAGATTTCCCATCAAGGTTAGTCTGAAGGGCCTGCACAATTCTTTTAGTTACCACTCCTAACTGAGCATCTGGATCGCTAGCTTCAAAACCTTGGAATAATTGCTTCAAAGTAGATTTGTAGCTGTACATTTTACGATGTTTGTGAGAAACATAGTTTTGTAGCTATAGGGTACGAATAGGATATAAAAACAACAACTAAAACAACAGACATGCAACTGCCAGGAGATCATATGAAAAGGCGCCAATCAGCCAGAATGATGTATTTATAAAATGTATCAAAAATCATTTCTTCGAAGGACCAAATAACGAGGGTGGAAAAAGAAGAAGAAGAAAAGGGGAGCCAGAAAAGTTCTTTTGGAGATCATCTATGAATTAAAACAAAGCGTTCCAGAGCAGAAAAATAGGCTGTAGTTCAATGTAATAATTGTAAATATGATTGAGAAAGGCGTGTACTTCAGGCAACAACTTGGAGAACGTACAATGCAGCTGTTGTTGTATGGTATGTCTGGGATGCGGGTCATAGTTTCAAGGGGGAAAAGTATGACAAGAAATATTGAAGTGGAAGCCACAGAAAGTATTAACTTACTCGAATAAAAACTTGACGTAATTTATCACATAACTAGTCAAGGGATGAACAGTCCCATCAAGAACAGCAGTTTTTGTGGCATCTCTTTCTACGGCTTCTTCAAAATCAACAAAGGTCTCTTGAGCTGTCTCGGCAAGGCGCATAGTTAAGCTCAATGCAGAATCCCGCATTTCAATGCATGCTTTACTTCCAAATAGTGTTTCAATCTGCTCTTAGCACGTCATCAAAAGGAAATTGAAAAGTAAAATACACTTTAGTGTTGGCAAGTTGCACTCGTGGAAATATGATTTTGATCTTCTCACATACAGAAGCATAAAAACCTACCGCATGACATCAATTCACTTTAGCAAATACAGTGTTTAATAAGTCACCCATTTCAGATTCCAATGGTTCATTTTAGCTTGATGGTATAAACCCATAAAAATATGCAAACAACAACCGTAACCATTGAAAAAGACCGACTATATGGCTCAGAAGTGAATTGGCAATTTTACACTCGGGGGTAAAAGTGCAATATAACATATACAATAATATCCCAAATATCATAAATTTGAAAATATTAAAAGTGATGTCCGATATTTGGAAGAAAACGTTTATTATTTGAGTCCCAGGTGTTTGAAAGAGAAGCCGTAAGGTGTCATCCATCCCTCCACTCCCAAATGAAACAGACAAAAAAAAGAAAGCAAGGATAAAGTTGTACCTCAGGTTGCAGTTCTCGCATTATTTCAAACATGTCTAAAAGAACAAACAATTTTTCTGGTGATCTCTTGCTTTTGGCAATTGCCTCTCCAAAACTTAGTAGCACTGACACGCTACTTGTAGTCACATCTGCGAAGCATTGGTCCTGGAGAGCATCTGCACCTTCGAATATTTGATCACATATTTTCCTTTCCCCAGCAAACAGCAATTTAACCTTTTTCAAGCAGGAGTAAATAGTTGAGAATAAAAATTAAAATAGGACCGCAGAATAGAACGCTTAAATGACCACAACCAAATATGGCAAGTCCTTACAGCAATGCGCATGTAATGTATCCAGTTCCCAATCTTAGCTTCAAGAGCCTCCCACTGCATTTTCTGGACATCATCCTTGCTAAGCCTCTCAACGCCTAATTTCCTAAGACTCTGTTCTAAGACTGCACCACGAATATCCCTGAAATAAGAGAAATAATTTTTGAAGGGCTGCATAGAAAGTAAGACAAGTAAGATGCGACATTCTTTAAGCAAACGCTCTTTAAACATTTGATCACTCCGTGTATAAGCTTCCTAAAGTATAACAATGAATTATACAAGAACAATGAACAGCGATAGGCTGATTCATTCTCAAACAGTACTCAAAATTTCATTACTTTATCTAAAAAGATGTAATATACAGAATTTCAAGTCAGTAGTCAGCAACTTAGCATCATCAAAAAGTCCGCATAAAATAACATGTTCTCATCGAAATCTAGAAATCTACAACTTGCATATTAAACAAAGGACATGGCAAGTCGCATGAGAAATGTAATAGCTCATGCCCACTGCTAGTAGATATTGTCCTCTTTGGGCTTTCCTTTTCGGGCTTCCCCTCAAGGTTTTAAAACGCGTCTACGAGGGAGAGTTTTCCACACTCTTATAAGGAATACTTCATTCATCTCTCCAGCCGATGTGGGATCTCATAATCCACCCCTCTTAGGGGCCCAACATTCTCACTGGCACACCACCCGGTATTTGATTATGATACCATTTGTAACAGACTAAGCCCACCGCTAGCGACTTTTTCTTCCGAGCTTCCCCTCAAGGTTTTAAAACGCGTCCACTTGGTAGAGATTTCCACACCCTTATAAGGAATGTTTTTGTTCCCCTCTCAACCAATTTGGGATCTCACAAATAAACAACCCACATATTGAACAAACTTGTATTCAAAACGTTAACTAGTCAAACATCATCAGAAAACCGGAAAAGAGGTGATACCTGTATATTCTAAACAGTTGCTGCTGATGGCCAGCTAGAATCATTTGTTGGGCCAAATCATGCAACAATGGAAGAACCCTGGGAGGAATAAGAGTTGGGGGAATGAAGACGGAAGCTTCTAAGCTTTTGTTGTGATGTTCAGAACTATTTTTGCTACCACTATCACCTTGCTTAGATGCTGACGATGGACGCAACGAGTTGGGGAGGCAGTCGAATAGACGTTCGGGTTCCACTGGCTTACTGCAATTTGATAAGTCCACATTCATTGTTCTTGTATACCAATTAATAGTACAATGTGGTACAAATATCTCAAATATTAATTACAACAACTGCCTAGCTTTTCTACAGGACTAAATTATGATAGGAAGGCAGCAAATCTGAATAACAAAATTGACAGCTCAATATAACAGCCAAAGGATGGAATTAAAACCATAAAATGTTGGGTTGATCAAAGTGACCATAGCAAGGAATCCTCTGTTCATTTATCTAAGGTTCCCATCCCGGGCTTGGGTTTGACCCCAAACACCCAGTTGACTTCAGAAAGCTGGTAACCTCTCTTCCTAACTTTACTTGCCAGAAATTCCACATCCCCTAATGACATTTTCACTGTCCCCCCGCACAACGCATCCCCTAATGACATTTTGCCCTTACTCTCATATGTCTTTACTATCGGAGGCCTCATATTTTCATTCTAATAGAAATTACAAAAACGAACATCTATTCTATGAAACCACAGCTCCGAGAAAAATAAAAGCATTATTAAAAATGTTAACCAAGCATAAGTTCACAAGATGATTATTAAATTAAATCAGAAACAAGGAGAGAAACATCTGTTATATCCTTTTTGTCACAAACTTTTGAAACCTTTAACTGAACGAGAATAGCTCTAAGAAAAGAAACGAGGAAGTCTATTTATATTGGTGATTACTTGAAATCAAAATATTCAAATAATTATAAAACAATTCTTAAAAAACGTTACAACAGTGAACGTACAGTTACCCATAAAAAGCAATAAAAAAAATAGAAAACAAACCTGTAATTTGTTAAAAGCTGTCTGAACTCATCTTCCAGCTTTGAAATGGCTTTGACAAGCAAGTTGCTTGTATGGGTAAGAATAGCTTCGTTCCTTTTGAAATTTTTGTTACTAGTAAAGTAGCGATTGGTGCTCCGTAGTTGACTGATTGCTTCCAAGTACATTTCTAAGTCCTCATGTGGCCCCCTGAGTATTTTAGCCTCGGCCTACATTTTTCAATTCAAGTAATATAATCATTTGCAGACAGAAAATCAAGTTGCATACACTGAAAATAGTGACAATAATAGTGTTCAAAGAAAAATATGAAACTAAAGAAATAGGAACTCTGTTCCACTTACTGACCCAAATGCTAACACTGTAAATTCTCTGATCAAACTACAGAAGCCACCAACTGCCAACAGTCTTTCTTACATAATAAAATAACATTAAGAAGCACGAACATGTCACCAGGCATTGCAACAAAAAAGTCATCCAAATGATTAAGATAATGCAATAGAGGCACGTTAATAACATGTAATCACATATATGATTTAACTTGGTTCTACTGCCTTATCAATACAAAAGAATGCACTGATTATATGATTTTCACGGAATCATACATACACAGACATACAGAAAAGGTGATTTTGGCTAAACTCATTTTGCTTCTAAACATCCGGGATAAATTTTTGTCATAAATGGCCAAAAGGCCAAGTGAACATCACGTTTTCATCACTATAAAAGGCAATGTGCTGCTCAAGCCAACTATTTCGGCAGCTACTTTTTTCTTTTTGTCTCTACCACTTCACTTGATGAACAAAAATAGGATTCATAACCAAGCACAGCAGCTGCCAACCCCCTTTAGTATGATTAAAGAGAAATAGACAATGAGAAACAAAGACTGATTTTTCATCAGTTCATTCAGAGATCAAGTTGGAGGAGAACAATCCTACAGCCCGAGACAAAAGTAAACATGTGCTCTGTGTGAACCAGAGAAGAATGCACAAGGGCTTCAATTACATCTTGTGTGTCCCACCATGTTAACAATAAAGAACAAAAGAAGTTCCAACTAATTTTGTACAACATGTGCCTCTAGCATGTTGGTATGTTCGCATTTCCAGGTGATTATATATTTAACTGGTATGATTTATGCTTCCAAGTTGTAGACGTAATGAAATAGAATTAAGAGGGCAAAGAAACCTGTCCGGATGGTGCAAATGGAAACTTTTAAGATTTTATCACCTGTCAGTCTCTTAAAGTGCCCAAACAATCTGAGACGTGAAGTCACCAAGGAATGCTACGCTACCAATTTCATGTAAATTTCGAGTGCCGCAAATATCCACACAAAAAACATAAAATAAAATAAAATAAAAAATCACACAAAACTTATAGTCAATTCAAATCCAATCAGTCGCGAGGCATGAATTACGAGCGTGGCTTGGGGATGATATACTTATTCCAACTAACTACAATTGCTACAGGACAAGACGCTTATAATATTAACAACAAACACCATATCAGAAGCCATAAATAAATAAGAAGGTAAGAGCTATCAACCTTGCGTGTAAGATCAAACTGAGCCAGCATACTTTCCGCAGCCTTCAATGTCTTGTCAATATTTTCATGTGCCATCCGGATTGAATGAGTTCTTATCTGTCGCGTCAAAAACAAGAACACGATAGTAAAAATAAAAGAAAATACAAGCGAAGATAACAATAACAGCAACTGTCCTGTTTCCTTAAAATCAATCAAACGTATCAACAAATCGTCGAGCAGATCTTATAATTAACGTTAAATAGACAGCACGATCACAATAACGACACAAATTCACACATAGTACGCAACATATGAATAAATTCGCAGAATCCTCAGAACAAAGAAACAGTGGCTAATTAATGCATTTCTAAATTCTTCAAGCTAACCAACGAATCATTAAAAAGCACCTGAGTAGGCCGCATTGCAGTTTCAAGGGCGGAGAGACGGTAGTCAAAGGAGCCAAGAATGGAGACCATGTTCTCTGTGACATTCTGGCTCTTCTGCAGCGACTCTCTCACAAGTGCGGCTCTCGCGCTCAGAATTTCCATCGTCTGTGGAACCCCCATTGGAGATGGAAATTTCCTCCCAGTGTGTCTGGTAGGGGAGAGAAAACGGAATGGAAGTGCAGATGCGTGATCACGAAGCAGCCGATTCAAGAACAGAATTCAGCTAGCTTCTGTTTCCTTTTTAGCCTTTTTAGCCTTTTTCAGGTCTCCCTTCGAAATGCAGGACGGAAAATTAAGGTGGTTGCCAAAAGCTATTCGTTGTCAGAATATGGGCCCCGTTTATATACCGACGGTTCACCGCAATAGACCCGGTTTGAAAACCGCCAAAATTACCTGGAGAAGATCTTGCGTACGGATGAAAAATAAATAAAATAAAATAAACATAATATTTTTGTTTTTCTAAATTAATAAAATAATACTTCTAAATTTTCTAAATATTTTGAAAATTACTCCTTAAACTTTTAAAATATTCTAAAAATGGTCCTTATTTAAAAAATATAAATTTTTAATACTATTAAAAAAATACTCTTAGAACTTTATATTTAAAAAATAATAATTAAACTTTAAAAGTATTATCAATAACCTTTCATAGATTATCTCTACATGTTTTTATTTTATTTTTAAAATTTTTTTTAGAGTTTTTTCAACGTGCTACTATTTTTTAGGGTATTTCTATTTTTTTAAGTTTATAAAATATTAACAAAACTTTTGATTAAATATATTAGAATGCACGTAAAGTTTTTTCGATTGTAATTAAATATATTACCGTTAAAATAACTCAATAAAATTTGGGTTGTTGGTAACTTAACCTAATCTGATTCTCTATTTTTGAGTTACTTGGGTTAACCCAACAACAAAATGTCAAACTTGCGAACCAACTTTGGTTGTGCGGGTTCATCTCTCTCTTTAAAGGTCTTTTCAAGTGCACACTTTAACAATACTACAAGTCAAGTCTCATCAAAGAAGATTTTGGACACCAACGACAAAAGAACACAAGCATTTTCAGGGACTAATTTGCTTCCTATTACTCAACGAAGGTACTTCCTCGCACATACATAATTAAGAGAGTTATTGAAAGGTGACTGAAACAACCACCATTCGAGCTAATGATAGAGACAATAACACTTTTTGCCAAAGTCCCATTAATTGATTCTAACGTGTTGTAAAAATGTTGCAAGGACCCATATATATAGAAAGAGAAAAAGAATCACCTTAATATTAAATCAGATCGAGCCTGAAATTCTCCTGTGAAAATAGATAGATTTATGATAAGTGGCCAACCACCTGAATTTTCGGTTTTCAAAACTTTAACCCAACCAAACAATTTTTTTAAAACTCTACCCAATTAGATTTGAGTTAGATTAATCACGTTATAATCATATTTAAAGTGTATTAATTACTCTCACCCAATTAGGTTTGAGTTAGATTAATCACGTTATTATTATATTTAAAGTGTATTAACTCTTAAGAAAAAAAAAGAGAAAGTGGGCCGGGGGAATAGTGGGCTTATAATGGGCCTGATTATGGGTTGAAGCCCAACTTTATCATTTAAACCTAAGATTTCGAGAGTTAAATCATCTCCTCTTTCTAACATAGGAATACTCCCCAAAGAGCCCTGTAGTTTGTTGGGGTTTAATTTTGATCGATTTTTCATCATCTCTAGGGTTTATCTTATACGAACAATCCGGTCGGCGATTGTGAAATTTCGCCATGGTTTGCTTCTCGACTCGTAAACTTAAAACTTTATATGTTTCCAGTTATTTGCATTTGAAATATTGTTTCTGTATCTTTTGTTGCTTAACAGCCGCAGGGAGATTACATTGAGCTTCACAGGAAGCGACATGGCTACCGCCATGATCACTTTGAGCGTAAACGCAAGAAGGAGGCTCGTGAAGTGCACAAACGATCTGCTATGGCTCAGAAGGTTGGTTTCAGTTCCTTATTTCAATTTCCGCTTATTTGTAATTTTCAATTTGGTTATGATATTGACGTTCTCTTTCTGATTGAACTCGAATGTTGCAGGCTTTGGGTATCAAGGGCAAGATGTTCGCGAAGAAACGTTATGCGGAGAAGGCTCTGATGAAAAAAACGTGAGTATCTTTTGTGGATTTCTTCTCCGGTTGTTAATATCTTTGATTTTGTATTTCAACAGTCCTTTAGGGGTTTAATTCTATCATTTTTCCAATTCTTTACTGTGCATCTCGTATTTTCTATAGTAGACTGGAGTTGTAATAGTTTGATAAGCGTTCATTATTTTATTGTGCATTTGGTATTTTCTATAATTGATTAGAGTAGTAGTAGTTTCGATAAAGTGGCACTCTCTTGATTAGGGCGTTTGACAAATTTCATTTCATTAATGCATTTTGAATGAAATAAATAGTGTTAGATTGGTAATTACTGTATGCTTGTTTCAACAGATTGGCTATGCATGAGGAGTCTTCAAGTAGACGCAAGGTTGATGACGATGTTCAAGAAGGTGCTCTTCCTGCCTATCTATTGGATCGTGAAAATACAGCTCGGGCAAAAGTATGCAATATTGGAACTTTCTTTTAACTTAGTCATGTAGTTTTTCTAAATAAATCTGGGAATCTGACTGTGTACTTTAAAATAGGTTCTCAGCAACACCATTAAGCAAAAGAGGAAAGAAAAAGCTGGAAAGTGGGAAGTTCCCCTGCCCAAGGTAAGGGCTGTTTGTGGTTGCCTTAATGATCGCTTGTTTAAGAGTAACGTTTTTATCGTGGTTTACACTCTTTAGGTCAGGCCTGTTGCGGAGGATGAAATGTTTAAAGTGATAAGAACTGGTAAAAGGAAAAGTAAGTATCAATGTCTGATTTATTCGTTTATTTGCAAATGTTTGTCTTGAATTGTAGTTTTTTTTGCAATACAATCTGTGTAGCTATTGTTGAGAATCTTCAGTTATTGTCTATAAACTATGAAAGTGCAATCATTAATCCATGCATTCTTACAGCAAAACAATGGAAGAGGATGGTCACAAAAGCTACATTTGTCGGGGCTAGTTTTACAAGAAAACCTCCCAAGTACGAGCGGTTTATCCGCCCATCTGGGCTTCGATTTACAAAAGCACATGTAACACATCCCGAACTTAAATGCACTTTCAATCTCGAGATCATCGGAGTGAAGAAAAATCCAAATGGTCCTATGTATACTTCTCTTGGTGTCATGACCAAGGGAGCTATTATTGAGGTACATTGCTCATACGCTCAACCTCTTCACTGTGCGTGAAGTCTTCAATCAATTCTGTTTCTTATTAGTCACATATTCCCTTCTTTTCCGTTCCATTAGGTGAATGTCAGTGAACTTGGATTGGTCACACCAGCTGGGAAAGTAGTATGGGGTAAAGATTTTCGTTCCTTTCTTTTGGACGTTTCTTCATTTGGGATGAAAGTTAATTGACATTATATTTTGTTTGTGTGGTCTCTTCAGGGAAGTATGCTCAGGTGACCAATAATCCGGAGAATGATGGCTGCATAAATGCTGTTCTGCTTGTCTGAAGAAACTTAATTAGACTTGGGGGAGGAGCACAGGTAGGCATTATTTTTGAAGTGGTAGCAAGAATCTTCCTTTTTTTCTTGTCAATTTTTTTGTGGCCATTAGCTCTCTTCCTTGACATGTAACCACAAATGTATTCTTATTTAAATATATATACTTTTCATGCAGATTTTTTCTCCACACGCTAATATTCCCCCCCCCCCCCCC